TCCCCCCGACTCAGACCCCCCCTACTCAGGCCTCCCCCCGACTCAGACCCCCCCCGACTCAGACCCCCCCCGACTCAGACCCCCCCTGACTCAGCCCCCCCCCGACTCAGACCCCCCCCCGACTCAGGCCTCCCCCCGACTCAGACCCCCGATTCAGGCCCCCCCTCCAACTCAGGCCCCCCCTCTCCGACTCAGGCCTGGGCTGAGGGGGCTGGGTGAGCCCAGAGCAGACTGGTGTGCACACGGGGAGAACCACTGCCTCGCTGACCCCCACCCCCTATCTCCACCCCCAGGCTGCTGCCTGGGCCTGAAGTGCCCTCCAGCTCGGACCCGACTCCCCCCACCCCGATCCCCACCCCTAGGGGCAGCACCAGCAGCCCCGCCCAGGCTGGGCACCAGGGCCCCCAGATGGACTGGCGGGAGGGTGGGGGGATGCGGCTGCACAGGCCGGGAACCTGGGCAGGGAGCCCGGGCTCAGGGTCAAGACCACCGTGACGCCCTCACCCAGTGGTCCGCAAACTGCGGCTCCCGAGCCACATGGGGCTCTGTGGCTCTTCCACAAAACACCACGTACCCTAATTAAGTTAATAACAATGCACCTACCTACATAGTTTAAGTTTAGAAAATTTGGCTCTCAAAAGAAATTTCAATCGTCGTACTGCTGATATTTGGCTCTGCTGACTAATGAGTTTGCCCACCACTGCCCTAACCGGTGTGGCTCAGTGGATAGAGCATCGGTCTGAGGACAGTCCCAGGTTTGATTCCGGTCAAGGGCATGTACCTTGGTTGCAGGCACATCCCCAGTGGGAGGTGTGCAGGAGGCAGCTGATGGATGTTTGTCTCTCATCGATGTTTCTAACTCTCTGTCCTCTGTAAAAATCAATCAATCAACCAAGCAATAAAATTTTTAAAAGCCCGCTATAACCTTGTAGTGGCTCAAGCCAGGGGCTGCCCTCACGCCCTTCCGCCCCCCATGGGTTCCAGTCCTGCAGGGACATGCCCGGCCAGACCCACGGCCCCAGCGGCCGGGCCCCCAGGCCACTGCCCAGCCAGTGCCCGCGTGCCCCCCCCCCCCGGTCGCCCCCAGCCCCGCACAGAGGCCCTGGGAAGGCCTGCGGGCGGAGGGCAGGGCCAGGGCAGCTGATAGTGAATCAGCTGGCGAGGCAGCCGGGACCCAGCGTGCCATTCTCAGGGGATGTGTCACGAGGCACCCTCGGGTGCGGGCACCACCCAGGAGCAAGGCCTGCTGGGAAGGGGTGCCCCGGAGGGTCCTGCAGCCAGGCCCCGTGAGGCCGCCCCCGCCCCGCCCCTGAGGGTCAGCAGGGCCGGGAGCTCGGGGAACGAGGGTGTGGCAGGGCCGAGGCCGGCGGGAGGGGCAGATTCCAGAGGATGGTCAGGTCCACGCACTGGCCAGCGGGCCGGAGCCGCCCACCCCTGCTGTGCCCACCGGGAGGCGAGGCCCGCTGGCCATCTCCGCCGTGGACACCCCCGGGCCGGGCCAGGCCGGGCAGGATGTGGCTGGAGAACCCTCCCCGGGACTCAGCTCGAGGCCAGCCCCTCCCAGCCTGGCGTGAGCCTGAGGCCGCCTCCTGGGGCTCCCGCAGGGCAGGACCAGCAGGGACCAGCGAGAGGGGATGCGGGCCCAGGGGTGCTGCCTCCGCCCTGCCCCACCCCCAGCTCCGGGCCCAGATCCATTTTTCCATTTTAGAAAGTGCTTCTGCCATTAAATATTCATCCCAGACAGGCCGCCCGCTGGCTCCCGGCCCCTGGGCCTCCGAAAAAAGAAAAACACGGGAGCCTGGGGGGGAGGGGGCGGGGGGCCTGGCAGAGGCGCCCAGAGGCTCTGCCCCGCAGGGCGCGGCTGCCTTGGCCTGGAGATGGGGCTGGGGTCGGGGGGCAGCGGCTCTCCTGTGCGCACACCGACCACTCTGGGTTCACCCAGCCCCCTCAGTCCCCAGCCCCCCATCTTCTCATCCAGCCCCCCTCCCCTCAGGACCTGCCCTGAACCCCCTAGGAGCGTCCTGCTGCCCTCAAAGAAGCCCTCCCTGCTGACAGCGGCCCCTGCCCGCTCCCCTGAACCCCACCCTCCCCTCACACCCTGTGGGCCACTCGCTGCTCCCCCAGCTAACACTCCCCAGCCTCCCGTCTGACAGCCCTTCCTCCGGGCAGCCCTCCCTGACTGCTCCTGCCCCCGAGGCTGCCTGACTCACCTCAGCTGCACGGCTCCACGTGGGGGCCTTGGGATGCAGACAGACGATGGGGGGCAGGCACCCCCTCACATGAGGCGCCTCCTCCCAGGCCCGGGACCAAGCTGAGGTGGGGGGCAGGGCCTCACCCCCAGGCCGAGCCTAAAGCACAGGGGCCTTCAGCAGGGCCGCCCAGAAGGAGGCAGAGGGCCAGAGCCTGGAGGAGAGTGGTGGGCCCAGCAGGCAGGGGCCTTCCTGGAAGAGGCGGCTCCTGGCTGGTCCAGGACAGGGAGACGGGGTCACAGGGCAGGCCTGCCGCAGGCCCATACCCCGGGGGCCCAGGGGCCCAGTCCCAGGGGAGGAGGGGGCACCCCTCTCCCAGCACTTGGGCGCACGCCAGGCACAGCCATCCGAGCAGTGACTCTGAGGGCCCAGCTCGGGAGGGGCCCGGAGGTCTGGCCCCTGGGCCAAGGTGACCTCCATGCCCGCCCTGCCAGGCGCACGCCCAGGCTGGAGGGGGCACGCGAGGGCGCCCCCTGCCCGGTCACACGTCCCTGCCTGAAGCCGGTGACATGGCCGCTCTGGGCCCTGCCGAGGCCCGAGAGCCTCCAGGCTGCCCGGGACTCGTGTGCCGTCTGCAGATGGGGACACAGCCCTGCGCTGCTGTGGACGGCGCAGACCGCCTGCCCGGCTGCCAGCTCTGCCTGACCTTGGCCGTGGCAGCTGTGGTCACTCCTGTCCACAGATGCTAGATCCAGCCTCCAGCCCTCCTGCCCTGCCCTGGGGAGGCCGTGGCATTCCCAGAGCCACCCAGACCCCTGCATTGTGAGCACTGCCCCTGGGGCCTCCCAGGCCCTCAGGTGGGGGCTCCGGCCACGCCAGGGGCTGTCAGGCATGAGGCGGAGGCCAGGGGCTCCCTGCTGTGCCTGTGGAAGGAGCACGGCCCCGGGATGGGAAGGGGTGTGGCCACGGGAGCCGTGGCAGCTGAGGGGATCCGTGTCCTGCGTGGGGTGGCACAGGGCACTCTGGGACAGGGAAGGTCACCTGGGAGGGCGGTTGGGGTGTGGAGAAGGAGCTGCGCCTGGTCTGGTGCGGGAAGGTGGGCCGATCCCTGCTCGGGTATGTTCCCTGAACAGCCACCAGGGGGCAGCCATTACACGCAGGCTGCAGGGGATCTGGCTCTCTCCCCCTGGACGTGAGAGAGGGTGCAGACCCGCCCTGGTGGCAGGTGCAGGGGGCAGGCTGGGTGAGGGGAGAGACTGGGGCGTGGTCCCTCCGGGCCGCTAAGGAGGAATCCACGGGAAAAGGCCTGGGCCACCCCCCGGGCCTCATGGGGGGAGGGGGTGCAGGCTCCACTGCTGTGCTGGGCACCCGCCCCTGATGCAGCAGGTCTCCCACCACTGCCCACGAGGCGCTGACTCCCCCCCAAGAGCAGACGCCTCACTGGACACCCGGAGGCCAGGAACCACCGAGAGCAGGCGGAGGGCGAGGGCCCCTGGGGAGGCGCCCGGGCCTCGGGGAGGCGGAGGCTGGCAACATGGACCCTCCAGCCTGCGGGCTGGGGCGTCCTAGGGCGTCTCTGGGCCAAGGCAGAGCAATGCCGTGTCCCTCAGGCCCGGCTGCTCTCCCCACCACGGGCTGAGGCCCTGGGTTCAGGCCCGGCCCCTCTGGAGGAGGCGGCTGGGGCTGCCCACCCACAGGTGTGAGGCCGGAGGTCAGGGCGCCCCTCTGGGTGAGGGAGGCGCTCAGGAGGCCAGCTGGGCCTCGGTATCCTAAGACACATGGAGACAGGAGGGTGTGCCTGGGCCAGGAGCACCCGTCCCCTGTGCCAGCAGCGCCATCGCCACCATCGATCTGCTGTCCCCGCGGAGTGAGGTCCAGCCTCACCGATGCAGTGAGCCCCTGGCAGAGGGCCAGGTGCCGGGTGTGGCCAGGCTGCCGCAGCCCTGACCCTGACCCTGACTCTGACTCTGGCCGCCTGCCTCTGCCCCACCCTCCTGCCAGACGCCCAGATGCGGGCCCTGGAGCCAGGCCGTGCCCGTCTGTCCGGCAGGTGCAGGAGGTGACAGAGCACCTGGTGCTCATTCCCTCGCCCAGCACCGTGGCTGACCTCTGACCCCCTCAGGTCCCTCTCCGAACCCCAGGCTTCGGATCCATTCCTGCCACAGCCACCAGCTGCCCCTCAGACCCAGCCACATAGCAGCCGCCCTACTGACCCAGCCCAGCCAGCCTGGTGCCCCAGACCCGGACCAGCAGCTCTCCATCCAGCTCCCCGCAAACCCCTCCACCCCGCTCCCCCAAACCCCTCCATCCCGCTCCCCCAAACCCCTCCATCCCGCTCCCCCAAACCCCTCCATCCCGCTCCCCTAAACCCCTCCATCCCGCTCCCCCAAACCCCTCCATCCCGCTCCCCCCAAACTCCTCCATCCCGCTCCCCCAAACCCCTCCATCCCGCTCCCCCAAACCCCTCCATCCCGCTCCCCCCAAACCCCTCCATCCCGCTCCCCCCAAACCCCTCCATCCCGCTCCCCCAAACCAACCGCGTTCGACGGCCCATGGCCCTCGCGCCCCGCTCACACGTGCGGCCCTCCCCGCGGCGTCCCCGGGGGCAGCGGGCAGCGGGGCAGCCTCGGGGAGGCAGGCATGGCAGCGGGAGGGGAGGCAGGGGCCGGAGGAGGCGGTGCGGGAGGAGGCGGAGGGAGCAGCGCCGGGGAAGGCAGGCCCGGGAGGCGCGGGACCCAGGGCCTCCCGGCGGCCCCTCCCCGGGGCCCACCCGCCGGGAGCGGAGCCGGGCGGGGGCTGCAGGCGGCGCACCGCTGCCGGGGGCTCCGGGCCAGGCGGGCAGCACCATGTGGAAGCAGTCGCACATCGCGGCGGCGGCGGCGGCGGCGGCGGGCGGGCCCGGCCTTCAGTCGCGGCTCCGGCTCCGGCTCCGGCTCCGGCGGGAGCGGCGGGCGCTGCGCTCAGGCCCCTGCTCTGCTCCGCGGCCGGGACAGACTGCGGCCCGGACCGACCGCGCCCCCGGCCGCCACCCCGCCCCGCCACAGCCAGCAGGGGCGGAGCCGCCCGCCTCATTCAGCCCATTGGCTGCGGGGCCACAGGCCACGCCCCAGGACCGTCAGGCCCCGCCCCGATCCCCGCCCACATCGGCCTCCCGCTGGACACCCCTCCCCCGCCCCTACCCCCTCAGCCCCAGCGGGTCTCAGCTGCGGGCCAGCCCCGCCCCGGCTCGGCTCGGCCCGGCCTGGCGCCCCCGGCCCGCTTGCTTTCGGGGTGCAGAGATGCCTGTGGACCCTGCCGGGGGAGGGTCGACCCCTGAACCGCAGTCTTACTGTCACGGCTGGGTGCGGGGCGCCCTGGGCTGCAGGGAGGAGGCTGACCATGCCCTGGGGCTCCGGGTGCGGCCCTAGGGGGGTGGCGGTGGAGAGGGTCCTGGGAGGCCCTGGGGGGGCTGTGGAGAGGGTCCTGGGAGGCCCTGGGCCCCTGTACAGGCCTCGCCCTCAGGAGTGGGAACAGAGGCAGCAGAGAGCCTGTGCAGAGGACGGCGACGCGGCTGGTTCCCGCTGGCAGGCCCGTGGGCGGGGTCAGTGGAGGCCAAGGAAAGACCAGCCTTGGGTGGGGGTGGGGTGCGCCTGGGGCAAGTGAAGGGGGTGGAGCTGGACCCCCTGGCGGTGGGAGGGGTGTCGGTGGAGGAGGGGTGTGGGGGGGAGGGAGCTGGTGGGGTGGCAGGACAGTTGGGGCCACAGTTGCTGTGCAGAGAGCAGAGGGCAGCTCCCCTGGGGAAGGGGCGTGAGTGGGGAGCCCAGGAGAAGGGTTCCCATGGGCATCGGGGGTGAGGGGAGGCGCAGGCTGTGGAGGGCCCCTTGGAGAACACGTCCTGCTGGGTTGGGGGAGCCGAGCCACCCAGGGGCATGGCTGGCAGCCGGCTGCTGCAGGGATGGCAGAGGACACACAGCCCTGTTTGCTTGCAGGCCGACTGCAACAGAGGCCCCAGACACACATTCACTATCGCACACTCACACACACACACTCTCACACACACACACACACTCACACACACTCACACTCACTATCTCACACTCACACACACACATACACTCACATACTCTATCACACACCCACTCACTATCTCACACACACACACACACACAATCACACATTCACACACACACAAAAATACACACATTCACACACACTATCACACTCACACACACACTCACACACACTATCACACTCACACACATTCACACACACTATCACACTCACACACACACATTTACACTATCTCACACACACACATACACATACACTCACATACTCTATCACACACACTCACACTCACTATCACACATTCACACACACTCACACTCACTATCTCACACACTCACTATCACACACACTCACACTCTCTCTCACACACACACACACACACACACTCGGCCCAATGCCCAGATACACAGATCTGCTTGGACAGGTCCCCCTGCACTTAGAGAAGGCACACGCACTCACACACGTGCACCCACCCCAGCCCAGCTGCTGGGATGGGACACCTGCACATTCACACACGCGGGTGCACAGCGTCGGCTCCGGAGCACACGCAGGCCCAGGTGCGCTGCTGCATGACTCACTCCGGTTCCCGGCATTGCCGCGGGCAGCCCTCCAGCAGCGGTCGGACAGACGCGGCCGGGCTGCCGGGAAGAGGCCCCGGCAGCCGCCCGCGTCTCCAGCCGTGGCGTGATGGCACAGCCCTGTCCTTCAGGAGGGACACGCATGGGCCGCACCCCTCCTGCCTGCCGGGCCGGAGCCCCCGCCGCCCCCGCCCGCCCTGAGGCCGGCCTCTCTGCCGCGGTGAGTTCCGTCCGGCGCCCCCGCAGGCCTGTCAAGGGTCCCAGCCCGCCCGCCTGGCGGTGGGTGCGGGGGACACAGGCAGTCTTAGGAGACCTTGGGGCACGGCTCCGCGTCCCCGTTGGGCGTGTGACCTTGTGTGGTTGTGGGGACCCTGGGCCCCACCCTAGGGAGCAGCTCACTCCGTGTGACATTGGCGTGTCCTGATGGTCACGCAGGATGCTCGGCCTGCGGTGGCACCCAGCGGCTCCGTGGGAGGGGGTTGGTCATGTGAGGGGCTGGGACTGCTTGGCCTGAGCCCCGAGGAAGCGGCTGAGCCACGCACTGCTGGCCCCCTGTGCAGTGGGTGGTCCCTGGGGCCCAGATTCTGGATGGGGGCAGGGACCCCACCTCAGGGGCTGCCCCTTTCCCGCTCCTGCCTGCTCTGAAGCAGAGGCGGACGTCACCTGCTGTGCTCACCCCTGGGACCCCTAGGGCCACGTGGGCCCATTTTATCCCTGGGAGGCCCTGCCCCACAGGCAGCGTACCCCACAGTGTGCGGAGGGGGACTGTCCGGAAGTTGGTCAGGCCCTGCCTCCCGTCCCACCCTCCTCCCGCCTGCAGGCCCCGATCGCAGGGCCCGACGGGAGAAGGCGCCCAGCGGACCCAGGAAACTGCGCGGTTCCTCCCTGCCCGGCCCGACCCCCAGCAGAGGCCTGGCCCCGTGCCTGTGCAGAGCCCTGTGCGCCAGGAGCTGCCGCGTCCTTCCAGCTGCAGCCGGTCCCGTGTCCCCCTCTGGGGACAGATGGCCTACTTCCTACGGCCACGGCATCTGGGCGTGGCTCAGGAACGCTGTCCCCCGGAGGCATGGAGACGGGGCCCACCTCACATCCCCCTGCCCCCCCATACCCACCGCCCCTGGGACCACCCCCTGGGGGCTGTGCGGCCCTGCAGTCTCTCTCCATCCACAAACAGGCCTCCTCCCCAGGCCCCCGGCCCTGGCCGTGGCCGCGGGTCAGGGGTCCAGGCTCGCCTGCCGCCTCCCAGGGCTGGCACGTGGGTGCTGGTACAGGAGCAGGGCACTGCTGGAGGCAGGGTGAGGAGCTGGGCTCCAGCCACATCTCTGCAGGCTGGCTCTGGGCAGAGCCGCACCCACCCGCAACGGGCTCCTGGCCGCTCCAGGCAGCAGGGACGCGAGGAGCATCAATGATTGATGCACCTTTGCAGCAGCCACAGCAGCAGAAGCAAAAATGGCTCTGCCGTGGCCCTGCCCCCTGAGGGGCACGGGGCGGGTATCTGGGCTCCACAGCTACCCCCACCCCTGCAGCAGGGCTGGGGCTCAGGGACAGGCCCAGGGGTCCTTCCTGAGGCACCGGGGAGGGCCACAGGGGCCCTTTCTCCTGACCACACTGCACCCCACTTCACGCCCCTGCACCCCCACTTTAAGGGGGACCTGCCTGCTGGCCAGCCTCTCCCAGCCGGTGAAGCATGCTTACCTTAAACAACTGCCTGCCCTGCCCGCCCCCCGGAGGCCTGGTCTGCGCTGGGACCCACGCCATGTGGGGTCTGTCTGTCCAGATGCTGACCTGAGGAGCAGGGGCCACCTCTCAGCCTAGGCTGCCCTCACCCCCTCCTTCCGCCGGGCTGAGCATCCAATGTCGGGGTCCCCTGGCTGCCCCCTCTGGGTGTTGGCTCCTGCGTGGGGGCACCAGGTACGACTCCTGTGGCCACTGTGACAAGTAACCACGCACAGAGTTACAGTTTGTTCTTTCACAGAGATGAGGTGGAGGACGAGAGGGGGCTGTGTGCCTCTGGGGGTTCAGGGAGACCACTGCCTTTTCAGCCTCTCAAGGCGACCTGCATTCTGGCCCTCACGTCCTCTGACCCCTGCTCCCGCCTTCCATCCTCCCAGACTCTGAGCCTCCTGCCTCCAAGGGCATTTTCTCCATTGATCTTTTATTTATTTTTAAAATACATTTTATTGATTTTTACAGAGGAAGGGAGAGGGATAGAGAGTTGGAAACATGGATGAGAGAGAATCATTGATCAGCTGCCTCTTGCACACCTCCTTCTGGGGATGTGCCCGCAACCAAGGCACATGCCCTTGACCGGATCGAACCTGGGACCTCTCAGTCCGCAGGCTGACGCTCTATCCACTGAGCCAAATGAGTTAGGGCTCCATTGATCTTTGTAGAGAGAGTGGAAGGGAGGGAGGAGGGGGAGAGAGAGAGATCAATGCCAGAGAGACGCATTGATTGGTTGCCTTCCGGACGTGGGAATTGAACCTGCAACCCAGGTATGTGAGCCCAGGCATGTGCCTTTGACTGGGAATCCAACGGGCGACGATCTGCAGACCGATGCTCTGCCTCTCTAGCCAGGGCTGCCCCCTCTCTTATGGGGGTGACCTTGGCTAGTAGGATTGTACAGGTTTCCGGTGTACCACCTTACAACACGTCATCTGCATTGTGCTGTGTGCTCACCACCCCGAGTCAGGCCTCCTTCCACCCCATGTCCCCCTCTCCCCTGTCCACCGCCCTCCCCCGCTCCCCGGCTCCCTCTGGGACGGACCCTGCAATTACTGGGCTCAGCAGCATAACCGTCTCCCAGGACTGTCTCTCCTTCTCAGGAGTCTTAGCACGTCTGTGAAGTTCCTCTTACCGTGTGAGTTCCCTGTTCACAGGTTGGGGGTCAGGACTTGGACTAGTCTGGGACGCCAGGTGCTGCTGTGCCTGGGTGCTGCCACCCCGCATCCTGAGGGCACCCAGAGGGTCACAGTGCTGTCCTCACTCCCCCCCAGATCCACAGGGGGCATGGGGAGCCTCAGAAGAGCTGGCTCCAGCCCTGGCGACCCTTCCTTTGGGGCCTGGACCCGAGCTCCCCCCCCCCCCCCCCGCCCCGAGGTGAGGACATCACTGCGGCCAGGCCATGGGCTGTGCAGACAGCAAGGACAATGGATCAGGGTCCCAGAAGAGGCCGCCCGGCGCCTGGTCACCTCCTGCAGGGTCACCGGTGTCCGTCCAGGCCGGGCAGTCTGGCTGGGCGGTGTCACCGGTGCTGTCCAGGCTGGGCAGTCTGGCTGCTCACACACTGCAGAGCCGGCTGTTGTGCGGGAAGCAGGGCCGGGAGCAGGAGGCTGCGGTCCAGCGTTCAGAGAATGATCTCATCTGGTGACTTTTTAAACTAATGTTCCCAGGAGCTTGGCTGAGGACCAGGGAGAGGGGGTGATTCGTGCACACAGGACGGCCCGGGAAGAGCTCGGAGTCCCGGGTGAGGGACGTGAGCGCGGGTGGACTGGCCGGCGGGTGAGGGTCCCGCCCTGAGGACTGCGCCCGGAGGCTCGCTCCCAAGGGTGGCTGCGGGGCCTGGGTGGGGCTGAGGGAAGCCTGGCCAGCGCCCCTCGCCCCGATGGCAGCGGCAGCAGGAGCGCTGGTGACCGGGCAGGACCAGGCGCTGAGGGGCCCGGGAGCAGGGAGCCCGCGGGAAGGCGGGAAGGCGTCGCGCAGCCCGGACAGTCCGCGTGGGGCGGCACGAGGCCTCGCAGGGTGACGTCAGCCCCTGCCCACAGCGTCTGGGCGCGCCAGGGGCGGGGCTCCGAGGGGCGTGGCCTGGAGCTGCCACGCCCTCTGCACCAGGCTGTGACGTCAGGGTGGCGTCGCCAGAAGTAGGACTGGTGAGCGTTGTTGCTGGGCAACGGGCGGGAGCCACACGCGGACTTGGGGCCGTAGGCGTGATTGCGGGCCTGAGCCGGACACCGGCCTGAGCGCGCCCAGCTGCCCAGCTGCGGCTCCCTCCCGTCCGCCCCGCCCGGGGACCCTCCCCCGGAGTCCCGGCCCCTCCCTTGCTCTGGCCGGACCGGACCTCGCTGACCCCTGCCCACCCGGCCCGAGGCCCCAGTCTGAGGGCACGCCCCTGTGCCAGACGGTCCGGGCGGTCCGGGCGCCTGCGAGGCCAGGCTGTGTTCCACAGACCCGGGCCCAGGCGGGCCACACGCACGCCCGAGCAAGCCAGCAGCAGCGGCTAGGCAGTGGCGAGCAGCGGCCCCAGGCCGTCGGGTCTCCGGAGCGTCCTCCCTCCTGCGAGGCTGGCCCGGGGCGAGAGGCTGGCTGGACTCCCATTATGAGTGGGTCTCTGGGTGACCCACAGCGGCAGCAGACGGGTCTCTGACCACCAGGCTCGCGAAGACAGCGGGCAAGACCCCTGGGAGCCCAGGCAGTGCCCATGCGCAGCGGGTGCGCCCGCCCCCTCCTTTCTCTGTCCGAGGGGAAGCAGGATTTGCAGGCCCCGAGCCTGGGGGCCCGGACCCAGGGGCACTGCGCCTGGGGGAGTCTGAGGCTGGAACCCTCGGCCCAGGCTGAGCAGCCCTCAGCACGGGAGCTCCCGGGCCCAGGAGTGCGGCTCCCCCAACCTCCCAGGGCGGACCCTGGGTGACAGGAGCCATCACCTCCACTTCCGAGGTATTCCTCAGGTTCCGGGGAAGCGGAAGACTGGCGACAGCACGGACATGAAATCACCACGTGCCCAGAAGAAAGTCCACCTCAGGGAGGGAAGGAGAGCAGGCGAGACAGGAAGGAGCTGTGTGGGAAGGGCAGTGCCTTGTGAGCTGGAAAGAAAGAGGGGCAGGCACCGCCCCCAACCCCACCATCAACTCCCTCAAGACCGAGGGCCATCAATGCCCCTTGTCCACGCTCTTTAACCCAGATGTACACTGACCTGGACAGTGGATCCCAGCAGGCACAGCCCAGCCCGCCAACAGCAAGCGTGTGCACAGGCCTTTGTGCCGAGGTCGGCACCAGAGACCCCTAAGGTGTCTGAAGACCCACGAGGGCCAGACAGCAATCTGACCTTTGCCCCCAAGAACATTTATACCAAACCAGAGGCCCAGCACGTGATATTGGGGCACTCGGGGGGAGGGGAGTGTCCGTCTGCCGGCAGGGAGCGAACCGCAGCCTAAGCCGGCAGTCAGCACCCCCCCCAGGGTCCTTAGCGCTGCCTGAGGCAGGAGGCTCAGCTCCGGCGTTGAGGTCCGCCCTGTGACTGGCACTGAAGTGCCCGGTCCCTGTCGTATCTCACTCAGTCTATTTGCATATTAGCCTTTTATTATGCAGGATGTAGGACAGCCATCCATTAAACCCTGCAGAGCCTGCACCGGGCTGGCTGCCTCATGAGGAGTGGCCCCCACCGCGGCAGCAAGTGGGGCGGCTCCACAGAGCTTACAGGGAAGCCGAGTCGGGAGGGAGGACCCTCGTCAGAAAGAACCGACCTCGGGAAGTAAACACACCGACTGCAGGCGCTTGGGTCACAGACGGTCTATTAGCAGCAAAGGACGTTCATAGAAAAAATATACTTTTCACAAAATAGCTGGGAAAGTCCAGAGATAATAAAAAGTTTACAAAATATATCTTAAGCAAAATGTTGCCCAAAACGTATAAAACTCAGTCTTTAAAACTTCCCCCAGGACCGCAGGCGCTGTCGCTGGGCCGGTCCTCCGGGAGCCGCCCCCGAGTGCGGCCCAGCCCGGCCGGAGGAGGGCGAGCAGCGGGCGCCAGGCCGTCCTGCGGGCACACAGCGGCTGCCCGTGGCAGGCGGGGCCGGCCAAGTGCGGGCGGCAGGGCCAGGCTCAGGTCTCCACCAGGATCTCCACCACGTGGTCCAGCTCGCCCAGGTCCCGTTTGCAGCTGGAGCCGGGGGGCGGGGCGCCCGCGGAGGCCAAGGCCTCGAACCCGTCGCCAGGGACCGCCTTGGCGCCCACCATGCCCGTCAGCACGGCGTCCAGGTCGTAGTAGGGCCCGTCCACGTCCGCGAACAGCCCTTCCGCCGCGCGGGGCGCCCTGCTCTCCAGGGTCTCCAGTATCTGGTCCAGCGACGCCTGGAAGCCGCCCCGCGGGCGGTCCGCCTCCCACGCGCAGCCGGGGGCGCTCCTCGGCGCCTGCGCACTCGGGGCCCCCGGCAGTTCGCAGAGGTCTGGCGCGGGGCTGCCCCCCGAGTCAGGAGCAGAGTGCCCGCCCTGCTGCTCCCAGGGGCTTCGACACAGGATGTCGGTGGAGACGAGGCGCTCCAGCGGCCCCCGCCCCGCGCCCGGGGGCGCCGGCAGCCGCCAGGCCGCGTCCAGGCTCAGGTCTTCCTGCAGCTGCCGCACGGTGTTGGCGATGAGCACCGAGCGGCAGAGGTTGGGCTCCACCAGCATGTGGCACAGCTGCAGCTTGACCAGCGACATGTCCAGCAGCGACTGGCGCTGCAGGCTGTAGGAGGGCGGCGCCGGCGGGCTGTCCTCGCCGTCCGCGCTCTTCCTCTTCAGCCCGCGGGCGAACATGCTGTGTCCTGCGGAGACGGGAGACCTTAGCCTAGGGGTGTCGAACTCAATCAGAGAAGGGGCCAAAATCTAAAATCCAGCCTAAATCGCGGGCCGAATGGTTTACTGAGCAGTCATAAACTGTCACTTGTGATGGAAACGCAGCGGAGTGCAGTGATGACAGCGTGGTGCGGGCCACAATGCAAGGCCTGGCGGGACGGATTTGGCCCGCGGGCCTTGTGTTTGACACATGTGCTCCCTTCGAGCCTTCCCACCTGTGGGCCGGGCGGGGCGCAGGGCGGAGACCAGAGGCCGCTTCCAGAGCGTCCACGCTGTGCACCGCCACTCGGAGCTCCGTGCGAGCACGAACCGCAGCCTCTGACCTGCACAGCCGTCTCCACCGTAAAGGCGATGGACTGGAAACGGAGGCACAAGCAGAGGGGCTGAAGCCGCAGTACAAGCCCGGGCTGCGCCAGGCAGGGCGCACCTTCCTCTGACCAGCCGCCCGCCCGCCCGCCGGCACCGGGAGGGGCCCCACCCCAGCCGGCACACAGCCTGCGAAGAGGTGCAGAGAACCCGCAGGCCGCCCCTCAGAGTCCCCGGAGGACCCTCACCTTCGGGAGTGGCCTCCGCCCGTCTGACCCCCCAGGCTGCTCTCCAGGGCCCTGGGCCACCGGCCGGCAGGGCAGGCTGCAGGGACACAAAGGCTGCTGCGGTGCCTGCGGTGCCCCGAGGGCTGTCTGCAGGGCCTGGGCGCTCGCTCAGCTGACGTGTTGGGGTCACTAAGCCGAGCACCGTGGTGGGCACCTCCACCAGGGCTCCCTTTCCAGAAGAGGTGCCCACACCGCGTTCTGTTCTCTTCCCAGCTTGGCCAAGGAGCTCAGCGCCTGGACTTCAGATAACGGCCCGCATGTGCGTGAGGGTCAGACCCCGCGTTTGCCCATTATTGGGTTTCCTTTCTAAGAACAAGCCTGAGGCTGTTGGCAGTGCGGGGGGCCCAGCGGCGGCGATGGGTCTGCAGTGAAGGAGGAAGCGGCTGAGGCCCCCGACCCACCGGAGCGCCAGCCCTGCCCTGAGTGTCAACACCCTCCACCTCGCTCCCCTGTACTTACCGTGAAACTTAGGCGGCCGTGGGCATTTAACCTGGGAATGAACACCAATGTTCACTGCAGCTGACTCAGAGCTGAACACGGAACAGGCTCGCCCCAGCGGGGCTGGGTTCTCCGGGCCCACACCACGCACCCTTCCCCGGCAATGGGAGTGGCCAGGGACCCCGGGAGCTGCCACGTGAGAAAGCCAATCTCAAAGAACGTGGCGCAGACCCCACGGCGGCGACGTTCCAACAGAGACAGTCGGGCAGGCGTGGCCAGAACAGGTCTGCATGGTGGGTCCACAGGACCACAGGAAGGGACGGGCAGGAGGTAGCCTGTCTTGTTTTGCTCTCACATCGCTACTCCTCCCTCCCTCTCTCTCTAAAAATAAATTTAAAAACCTAAAACCCACACAAACAAAAAGCTGTGGTCACAGCTTATTTCCCCAGCAGACTAGGTTCCCCTGGAGCAGCAAGCAGGTCGAACGCATCAACACAGCCGGCAGCTGTCCTCCGTCCATCCCTGCCCTCACAGCGCCAAAAGCTCCTAATTCCAGTCCAATCCCTCCATAGCGGGTTCACGTTTTCTGTCGCAGCAGCTAGTCCAGCACTCACCGCCGCAGCCTGGCGAAGCTGCTAGCTAAAACGCTAACCAAGAGTACCGCTAGCGACACCGCTAAGCACCAGGACCGGGGGCAGTGCGCAGCTGCCGTGCGCAGACGTGCTCTGGTGCTATCGGCCACTGTGTCACTGCCACGCGAACACCCGTGCCGAGACCAGGCCGTCATGTCAGGCTGTCGGACGCCTGGCCGAGGCTCTGCAGCCCTGGCGCTCGAGTGTTTCCAAAGAAGCTACAGTCCCGCCTCTGCGCGGCGACTGGTCCTGCGTAACTGGTCCCGCCCCACTCAGGAGGGGGCACAGGGGAGGGCGGTGGAGGCGAGCTGGCTGGCCCTCAGAGCGCAGCAGGCACCTGGGCTGCAGGAAGGCGGGTCTCCGAGGACAGCCTCGCCCCCAGTCCGGCCGAGGGCCCACAGAGGACCACTGTCCCAGCAGTCACAGGGCACCGAGTCCCTTCTCCCGGCCGGCGTGCCGACAAGCACGAGGGGCCGCCTCCTGTGACCGCTGGGAAGAGGGTCAGAAAGCACTGGACACCCCGGGCCCGGACGGAACCCCACCTCGGGTTCTCCCGCGTTTTCTATTTGTGGAGTTGAGTTCACCTGCATTTGTGTCAGGTGCAAAGTCACGACCACTCCAGACGTCCAAATGTGGGGCTCTCACTCCCCCACCCCCCACAGCCCGGCACAGACTCCTCAGAGCCTCCATCAGGACTGGGGAGGGGCCGTTCCAGGCCCGTGCACCCCGTCAAGCTGCCCACTGGAAGCAGACGCCCCCCAGGCTCTCCGCACCGCCTCCCTTCCGGACCTTCCAGCACAGGTCCCCGCCCGGCCCCCCACTGCTCCTGCCCACAAGCCCTCTCGCCCACGCGCCTCTGCCAGCAGCCCGTTTCCCACAGAGGGCATGGGTAACCGAGGCCACCGCATGGTGAACAAGAGGCAAGAACCAAACGGAGGCCCACAGGACTGTGTGCCACGGCCCACAGGACAGGCAGCTGACCGAGCACCCACGGAGCGCGCCCACTGAGTGTTGGCGTCGCTCAGGCCACCGTCCGACGTCACACCGGTGACTGAGACGGACGAGCCAGGGGAGAGGAGCTGCTCAGGGCGCACATCAGGCCCCATCCCGGCCTGGCCCAGGCGGGCTCCATCCACACCGCTGCTCGGCAGCTGCTCACTCAGTGCCCAGCAGGCAGTGCCGCACGGACGGCTCAGAGGCAGCGGGGGGGTGTGTGTGTGTGTCACCCGGCCGAGCCCCAGAGGTGGCCAGGAGGGCCACGCTCCTCGCACACTGGTGCTGGGACAGTCGCCGGTGTGGCTCCGCAGGGACCATGGGGCGGAGGTGGGCTGGCCCAGCACAGCTCCTGGCAAAGCCGTCACCCTCCTCACCGGGGACCCGGGTCCTGACACCAGGCCGGTCCACCCGCAGAGCCCGGCTCCCTGCTCGGTCTCACCCACGGCCATTCCTCTGGGGTGGGCAGTTGGCGTGCCTAGTCCAATGCCCAGGTCCCCGGCACCGCTCCCGGCAGCGGCCGGAGAGGACGGAAGGCCGAGTTCACCGGGGAGCGGCAGCCCCACCAGCGGGGCCCCGGCCCCTCACCCACCTCAGAGAGGCTGATGGGAACGCAGGAGGCGGGACAGGACCGACTCTGACCAGCCCCATCACCGTGACCTCCAGTCCGGCCAGGCACCCGGCCAGGTGTTTGTCTGTCCCAGTCAGACCCCCGTCAGGAGGGCGCGGCGTGTGCGATGGACGGGCCCACGGCGAGGCCACCACGGCAGCCCGACACCCTCATGGGCAGCCCCACGGAGCCCCGGCCTGGAGACCGGAGGAGACAGGCTCCATCCCGGCCGAGGGACCATCCCCGCCTTCCTCCAGGCTAAACCTGCAAAGGTCATCGCGAACTCCACCCTGATTTCCACTTTAACCATAAAACACGGCCAAACTGGCACCTGGGCTGCGTGGGCAGGCAGGAGCTCAGGCATGAACCTCGTTTTCCTTTGCTTGTGAGGACAGTGACCTTGGTCGGTCGGTCGGTCGGAGTTCTGAGCGCAGCCCCGCAGAGGAAAGGCGCTGGGCACCCCACACCTCACGGGGGGCTCTTCCTGGGAACCCTGTTTTGGGGACGAGCTTTCGAAGATGTGGAGCTAAGGTGGCCGGGGAGCTGGACTGGAGTCACAGCTGGGCCCATCCCAGGCTAACTGCGGGCGGCACAGGAGCCACAGCAGACAGCGCTCCTGCCAGGGGGTCCGGACAGGGCAGCCCGCCCTGCCCGTCAGTCTCCACCGGCCTGGGCGCTGGGAGGCTGCCAGGAGGCGAGCAGAGCACGCGTGTCAGATCCCCGAGGCCCCACGCTGGCCCGGCCCTCCCAGACCAGAGAGCTGGGCCCTTCGCAGTCTGGAGCAGGGAAGCCATTGCAAAATGTCCTTAGCATCCGGGTACGAGGCAACCACCACCGAGAAACAAAGGGGGCACCCATGGGGCTACGGAGGCTGTGCTGCTTTGTAAGGCTTCATGTTCCAGCAGACAGAGCTTCACTGAGACAGAGAGGAAATTCAAGTGTCCCACCACTCACTCTGCAAGGACTGCGGTCAGGAGGGGGACCGAGCCTCCCTGTGGTCCACACGATGGGTGTGTGGCACGGCGGTGGAAGGATAAAAGGAAGGATGGATGGGTGACTGGGTGGGTGGGTGGGAGGGTGACTGGGTGGGTGGAAGGGTGGATGGGTAGGAGGGTGACTGGGTGGGTGGATGGGTGGGGAAGGAGGGGCAGCCTCAAGGCACAGGGTGGAGCTGTAACTTTGTCAGTGGGAGTCCCCACGAACTTCATGGAGGGTCTCCTGGGTGATAGGGAAGCCTGACCCACCTGGTCCAAGGCCCCCGGAAGGAGACCAGGGGGGTCTCCCTACACCACCCGCCCAGCAAACCCTAACGGCGTGACTCTGTCTAAAGAGGCCGGATTACAGCCATGAGCTGTTACTTTTGGGTGAAAATGGGGCTGGAGAGGCGGGAATGGGGGGGCAGAGGTCCACAAGGTCGCGCCCCTCTTCCGGGCGCCCATCGCCGGCGCCGGCGCCGCCCGCCGCCCGCCGCCCCGGGCCACCCTCACCCCCCCACCCTCGGAACCCCAGGCCGCCCCGCCACCCCAGGCCCCCAGGCGACCACGTGCCGCCTCCCACCTCCCCAGACCCGAGCCTTCCCCGCCGGCGGAGGCCGGGCCACCCCCACCCCCGCCCTCGGATCCCAGGCCGCCCGCCACCCGGAGCCCCCGGCCGCCCCGCCACCCCAGGCCCCCAGGCGACCACGCGCCGCCTCCCCGCCTCCCCAGACCCGAGCCTCCCGCGCCCGCGGACCCGCCGCCCCCCAAGGCGGAACCCGGGGCCCAGACGCCGCTCACCTGGCGGCCGCCGTCCGCACCGCCTGCGCCGAGGGGGCGGAGCCCGGGCGGGCGCTCAGCGCCCACAAAGGGCCGCCAGGCGCGGCCGGCCCGCCCGCCGATTGGCTGAGATCGGGGGCGGGGTCTCTGGTTCAAACCGGGGGCGGGGCCTGCCGCTGCAGTTCCCGCGCGGCCGCGTTGGCCGTTGGGCCGCTCCGCCCCGCCCCCCGGCTCCCAGGTCTCCGCGCGCGGCCCTACTGCGCCTGCGCGGGCCTCCTGGAGGCGGGGCGGGGATGCGAGAGGAAGAGCACCAGGGGGGTGGGGCGTGAGGCAGGAAGGGGGTGGAGCATGGGAGGGGAGGGGCGGAGCGTAGGGCAGAAAGAGGGTGGGGCGGCATGAGAGGGAGGGGCCGGAGGGACGGGGCGTGGGGGCGGGGCGGGGCGTGGGAGGGGAGGGGCTGAGTGCTGGGCTCAGGAGCCAGGAAGTCGGCCACCAGTTCGATTCCCTTTCAGGGCACTTGTGTGGGTTGTAGGCTCGATCCCCAGTAGGGGGCGTGCTATTTCTCCATCCCTCTCCCTCTCTAAAATCAAGAAAAACATATTTCTTAAAGCTTCTTAAAAATACATTTGTGTTGATTTCAGAGAGGAGGGAAGATGGAGAGATAGAAAGGACCAGGATGAGAGAGACACATTGGTTGGTTGCCTCCTGCATGCACCCTGACCAGGGACGGGGATCCAGGCCGCAACCTAGGTACGTGCCCTTGACTGGAATCGAAGCCGGGACCCTCCGTCTGCAGGCCTATGCTCTACCCACTGATCCGAACCAGTCAGGGCTCTAAAAACAGATTTTTTAAATGTTCCAGGCAGAGAACCTGAGGCGCGGGGAGCATTGTGGGGGTGCGGCTCTCAGAAAAGGCCAAAGGCTGTGGCTGCAGCACAGTCACTGAGAGTGAGGTCACGGCTAAGCGTGAGGCGCAGCTCACACCACGGATACACAGGCGACACCTTCGAGAACTGTACCCTTGAAACTTACAAATCGCCCCAGAAAACTTAACTTAAATAAACGGAAGGGATAGCCCTGGGCGGTGTGGCTCAGTGGATAGAGCACCGGCCTGTGCACTGGAGGGCCCAGGGTTCGATCCCGGTCAGGGCACATGCCTGGGCTGTGGGTTCGATCCCCAGCGGGGGGTGTGCTAGAGGCAGCTGAGCAGTGATCCTCTCTCATCACTGAGGTTTCTATCTCTCTCTCTCCCTCTCCCTTCCTCTCTGAAATCAATAAAAATATATAAATAAAATAATAGAAGGGACAGGGGCCAGGAGGGGGAGCAGAGCCGTGAGAAATGAGCCCAGGAGGACAGCAGCCCCAGAGCTGGGGGGATGTGGCCAGCCCCCCTGAACCTCCTCTGGCTTCCTGCCCGACTCAGGAGAACCAGCCGCCTTAGCCGCGGTCTGTGGTGCAGACTGAGCAGCCCCCGGAACCCACACACTCTGCCCCTTGGAGCGCCGTGTGCCGCGGCCCCCACCTGGACTCCCCCAGCCCACCCCTGAGAGGGGGGGGGCGCCCTCCTGGCCTGGCCTCCGGGGCGCCCCGGGGGGAAGTTTTACTCGAAAAGGGAAAAGGACGTTGTTTCATTCAAACGGGAAGTTGAGACGGACATGCAGGCATCCCGTTTTATTTCTAAATGTGCTTCTCAGTGCCTCTCCCCGTGCGGACAGACAGCCAGCCAGCGCTGCCTTCCACACACGGCCCGCATCCGCACGGCCTCCTGGGAAAGGACCCCCAAAACAGGGAGGAGCCTGGCCCGGCCGGCTGGGTGTCTGTCCTTGTGCTGCGAGCTGAGCCGAGGCGGAGGCCTAGTGAGGCAGGTGTGGCTGGCCCTGGGGCAGATGGGGAAACTGAGGCAGCCGTGGGTGTGGCTTGGCCCCGAGAGGCTTGTCGGGGGTCAGCCCGGGTCTGACCCCACCAGGTGGTTTCCGAGGAGCCCGCTTGCTCCGGCCCGAGCTTGGCCGACGCCTGTGAGGGGTGGATGCTCTGATCCAGCCGTCCTGGCCCCGCTGCTCCCCAGACAGCGGTGCGGGAACCCGGCGTGAAGGGAGTCCCACGGCCTCGGAGCCTCGGACCCGGTCACCGTCCCAGCCCTGCCGGGAGCCAGGAGCCCTGGGCTTCCTCCGGGGATTGGCGGCCTGCAGCGTCAGGCCTCGGCACACAGCCAGCACCCTGTGAGGGCCTCGGGGCTGGGTGCCCCACGGGGACCAGGCTCCGCCTAAGCCGGCTCCCGGTGCACGGCCGGCAGGAACTCTCGGTCGTCAGAGCCACACCCACCAGAAAGCCTAGAAATGAAGTCTTTGCCGGCCTGGCCTTGTGGCTCGGGGTTCGATTCCCGGTCAGGGCACAGGCCCGGGTGGCAGGCTTGGTCCCCAGTGCAGGGCGGGCAGGAGGCAGCGGGTCCATGATCCTCTCTCATCATGGATGTTCCTACCCCTCCCTCTCGCTTCCTCTCTGACATCAGAATATGAACACGTACATAGTGTTCTAAGTCTCCCCTGGATGCTGACTCGGCACCTCCACGGTGCCAGAACGTGCCAGCTAACCGCCAGGCGAGCTGTGGCTGCCGGGCTGCCTGGCTCCTGGGCCCCGAGGGGAAGAGGCGTGTGGAACATGTGGCTCCAGGAACAAGGAATCGGTGGCACGGCTTCCAGGTGTCACGGCAGCGCCACGGACACGGTGGGCGGGCTCTGGGGACGGGGCCCCCGGGCTCAGCAGGACTCCTCCCGCAGCCTCTGCAGGGCGCCCGGCCGTGTCCCCCGGGGCGGCGCGGGGCTGGGGAGCAGGCAGCTGCCCGCCAGCGACACGGGCGACGGCCTCGCCTCCGAGTCCTTCAGGCGCGTGAGCCTCGTGGCCTCCCTCCCCGCGGACCACGCCGTCCACTCCCTGCGGATCCAGGACAGTTGCTGCCGGGAGCGGGCCGTGGCCAGCATGTAGAGCACGGGGTCGGCCACGCTGCTCACCGTGGTGAGGCACAGGAAGGCCACGGAGGCGGTGCCCACGCGGGCCTCCAGGCGGCACAGGGCGCCCTCGTCGCCGCCGTAGTAGGAGAAGGCGGCGGCCCTGAGCAGCAGCACCAGGTGGTAGGGGGCGAAGCAGGCCAGGAAGATGGCCACCACCGCCAGCGCCGTGCGCCGCGCCCGCACCTTCCGGGCGGCGCTCAGGCCCGCGCTGCGCCCCACGGCCCGGGAGACGCGGTGGTTGGCGCCGGCGATGACGCCCAGCGGCAGGGCGAAGCCCAGGGCGAAGCGCGCGTAGTAGTAGCGGGCCGCCCGGGCGTCCACGGGCAGCGTCTCGAAGCAGGTGCCCCTCACGTCCGTCTCGAACACGGGGTAGTGGACCAGCCCCACCAGCAGGAAGGCGGCGGCCGTGAGCAGGCCGGCGGTGCGGCGACGGCGGCGGCCGCGGCTCTCCAGCGCGTAGGCCACGGCCACCCAGCGGTCGCAGGACACGGCGCAGAGCAGCAGGATGCTCAGGTACAGGTTGCAGAAGAAGACGAAGGCGGTGACCTGGCAGGCCCTGGGGCCCAGGACCCAGCAGTGGCCCTTGCTCACGTACAGCGCCCACAGCGGCAGGGTGGCCGCGTACAGCAGCTCGCAGAGCGCCAGGCCGCACAGGTACACGGCCAGCACGCTGCCCCGCCACGCCTCCCGCAGCGCCAGCCCGGCCGTCAGGCAGTTGGCGGGCAGCCCCAGCGCGCACACGGCGATGTACACGGCCACGGCGAGCACGCGGCTCTCCTCGAAGGACACGTGGCAGCGGTTAGGCTCACAGACTGTGAGGTTTCCTGCAGCCGTGAGGTTTCCTGCGGGCGGAGACGGCGGTGTGAGGGTGGTGGAGGGGCCCTTCCAGAGACACTCAGAAACGATAAGATCCCGCCCTGGTCAGTGGAGGGAGGGCCGGCCTTCCACGGAAGGGTCCTGGGTTCGATTCCAGGTTGGGGCACAGGCCCGGGCTACGGACTGGATCCCCGGTGGGGGGCGTGCAGGAGGCAGCCGGTCCATGATTCTCTCTCATCTTTGACGTTTCTCTCTCTCTCTTTCCCTTCTTATCTGAAATCAAAGCAGCCGGGCTGCAGGCTGCTTTTCATCCTTCGCTGAGAATAGGAGGAAGGGGGAGAGAGAGGCACATGGACGTGAGAGAGAAATGTGGACGGACTGCCTCCAGACGGGATGGGAATGGAACCTGCAAGCTCCTAGTGCACGGACGACGCTGCAACCACAGAGCCCCGCTCCTTTCCCGGCCGGAGTCCGCCGTCTGCGAGAAGTGCCCGCGGAGCCCTCCCGGGGCCCCTGCCACGGGTTCAAGGCAGAGGAGGCGTGGGGGCTCTCACCTGGCATGCTGGCCAGGTCCAGGGTCTGGGTGGCTCTTCAGCAGCACCCCAGGCACATCACATCCTGTGGGTCTTGCTCCGAAGCTCACTCAGGGTTCACCATGAGCTGGAGAACAAGCAGGTTGAAATCGCTTTAAGGAAATCGGGTTAAATCGCAAGCGAAGGCATGAGGCCTTGGTGAGTGAGCCGTTATGATGAGTCACGTCCTGCACTTATCCTGCGGACTCTACAGTGTGTCCTTCATATATAAAGAGCTCCTACAAATCAACAGCAAGTGTCAGAGCCAACGAGCAGGTAATTCCCAGGAGAAACAAGCGCAGCCCCACAAGTAAGATGATGAGAAGCTCCAGTGCAGTCCCTTCGCCTCCCGGCTCCGAGGGAGCGTGAGGAAGGCCCCCTTCCCCTGAGCCGATGGCACCGGAACCGCACAGTGTGGCCACCGTTTCCCAAGATGCACAGCACCTGTCGCCTGAAAGAACACCCCAGCATGCTCCTGAGAAAGGAACCCAGGCCCCGGAGCACCCAGCAGCCCTCCGACCTCCCTGGCTCCCGCCCGAAGCACAGGCGCCGAGAGGCTCCACCCTCAGAGGGTGTGGATGAGCCTGAGCCGGAGCTGCGTCCCACTCCGGGGGACGCTCTGCGGGGCGCTCTGCGGGGCCGGCCTCGGGTCACGGAGCCACGAGGCAGCCGGCAGGCTGAGCCCTGGCTCTGAGCCCGATGCCCTGCCCAGGGCAGCCCCGAGTGCTCCCACACGCCCGATGGGCCTCCAGGCCCCGCCCCCGAAGGCAGTTCCACTGCTGGAAACCACAGGAAGCCTGTGTTGACCTGAAACCAGACGCCCCCTCACCAGCATGCTGGGTCAGACCGAATGCACGCAAGGAGAGGGCCGAGGCAAAGAAATCCAGAAACCCCTTCGCCAAATGACTGACATCCCACAGGGGCCGGGAGGTCACAGGGTCAGGAGGTCACAGGGCCGGGAGGTCACAGGGCCGGGAGGTCACAGGGCCTGGAGGTCACAGGGCCTGGGGGTCACAGGGCCTGGAGGTCACAGGGCCTGGGGGTCACAGATCCTGGGGGTCACAGATCCTGGGGGTCACAGGGCCTGGGGGTCACAGATCCTGGGGGTCACAGGGCCTGGGGGTCACAGGGCCTGGGGGTCACAGGGCCTGGGGGTCACAGGGCCTGGGGGGTCACAGGGCCGGGAGGTCACAGGGTCTGGGGGTCACAGGGTCAGGAGGTCACAGGGCCTGGAGGACACAGGGCCTGGGGGTCACAGATCCTGGGGGTCACAGGGCCTGGGGGTCACAGGGCCTGGGGGGTCACAGGGCTGGGAGGTCACAGGGCCTGGGGGGTCACAGGGCGGGGAGGTCACAGGGTCTGGGGGTCACAGGGTCTGGGGGTCACAGGGTCTGGGGGTCACAGGGCCGGGGGGTCACAGGGCCGGGAGGTCACAGGGTCTGGGGGTCACAGGCTCTGGGGGTCACAGGCTCTGGGGGTCACAGGGCCTGGGGGTCACAGATCCTGGGGGTCACAGGGTCTGGAGGGCACAGGCCTCTCTCACCCTGCCCTCGCCCCCGGGTCTCAGGTCAGACGGCTGCAGGCCGGGGCCTGGGTCCCCTGGGCGCCTGGCGAGGCCCACCTGCCATGCTCGGCCCTCTGAGGAGGTGGGGGCCCTTCCCCAGCCCTCCCCTCCCTCTCTCCCAGCGCCGCCCTGAGGGCAGGCCGTGGCGGGCGGGTCCTGGGCAGAGCGGGCGCTGATGCCCAGACCGCGGCCACAGCCCTGCCCTCAGGCCTGACAGCCAGGCTGGACGCGTGGGGGGGCAGAAAGGAACCCCCGGGAGGAGCAGCCGGGCCGCGCAGCCTGAGAGGGGACCCAGGCCCCTGGACACCAGACGCAGGGCCCAGGCCCCGCCCCACCCTGGCCGCCCACTCCCTGGCGGACACCCACAGAGCTTGTCTCACGTGGGACACGTGGCCCCCTCCCAGGGCTTCCTGCCCCTGACCCCGTTCCACTGTCGCCCTCTGCTTCCTGCCCCCTCCAGTCCATGCCCCCAGGGGAGCAAGCCGGAGCCGGGCGGCCCAGCCCCAGTGGCCCCGGCTGCTCCTGCGCTGGCGGCCGGGAGCCCGCAGCAGCCAGGGGGCAGCCCGTGTCCTCCCGGCGTCCCCGCCCGGTGCCTGTGGCCGTCCGGCCAGTGGCCGGTGAGGAGCAGGCGGCCCACGGGCACAGCGCCCTCCCTGCCGGGCCTCCCCCTCCCTGCCGGGCCTCCCCCCCTCATTGCCGGCCTCCCCCATCCCTGCCGGCCTCCCCCTTCCCTGCAGGGCCTCCCCTCCCTGCCAGGCCTCCCCGCTCCCCGCCGGGCCGCCCCCGCCCCGCAGGGCCTCCCCCCCTCCCTGCCGGGCCTCCCCCTCCCTGCCGGGCCTCCCCCCTCCCTGCCCGGCCTCCCCCTCCCTGCCCGGCCTCCCCCTCCCTGCCTGGCCTCCCCCCTCCCCACAGGGCCTCCCCCCTCCCTGCCGGGCCTCCCCCCTCCCTGCCCTGCCTCCCCCCTCCCTGCCGGGCCTCCCCCCTCCCTGCCGGGCCTCCCCCCTCCCTGCCGGGCCTCCCCCCTCTCTGCCGGGCCTCCCCCTCCCTGCCGGGCCTCCCCCCTCCCTGCCCGGCCTCCCCCCTCCCTGCCGGGCCGCCCCCTCCCTGCCGGGCTGCCCTCTCCCCTGGACGCGATGTGGGGGACAGGCCAGCAGGCGGAGCCCGCGTCCCCCACGCCCACGGCGCTGCCCAGGGCCAGGCGCAGGCGCAGTCACACCAAACCCCCTTTCCCACGAGGTCCGTGAGGCCTCACCCGCCGCCACCGTGCCTGTGCCTCCAGCACGGCCCTGTCGGTCCACACACGTGCTTTTACCATGAACGTCTCACACAGACAAACACACCAACTGGGAGCCTCTGGCACAGCATGCTGTCCCCACCGTCCTCGTCCCCTCGTCCCCATGTTCCCCCGTCCCCCAGTCCCCCCATCCCAGCGTCCCCGGGTCCCCGAGTCCCCTCGTCCCCATGTCCCCTCATCTCCCCATCCCCCATCCCCCTTCCCCGCATCCCCTCCTCCCCATGTCCCCCCATCCCCCGTCCTCGCATCCCCTCGTCCCCATGTCCCCCTATCTCCCCATCCCCCCCGTCCCCCCATCCCCTGTCCCCTCGTCCCCCCGTCCCCCCATCCCCCGTCCCCGCATCCCTCATCCCCATGTCCCCCCATCCCCCGTCCCCTCGTCCCCCCGTTCCCCATCCCCCGTCCCCGCATCCCCTTGTCCCCATGTCCCCTCGTCCCCACGTCTCCCCGTCCCCCCATCCCCCGTCCCCGCGTCCCCCCGTCCCCTCGTCCCGACGCCTGGGTGGGCGGTCCGGCCTCTCCCCTCCACACGGCTCCCCAGTCCCAGCTCACCTCCCGGCCAGTGAGCGGACCCGCCTTGCCCCCCACCCCGTGGGGCTCACCTCCCGTCCCCGGTTTTCATCGGGTCTAACACACCCTTCAACACACGCTTGCATGTCCCTCAGCACCAGTGAGGCCGAGCCCCAGATCTGTGCTCGCACCCATCTCCCCCTTCCCGCCTCCAGCTCTGGGCCCGCAGCCCTGGACTCGGGAGCGGCTCTTCATTCCCGCCAGCCCCCCAGCCCACCCCACATGTCAGCGCCAGCTGGGCACCCCGGAAGCTCCTGAGCCTGGGAGGGACCAGCAGGAGACAGTCTGGGTGAGGTTCTGGCACCCCAAACCCTCTGCCCACATAACGGGGGGCGGGGGGCACTGACACCCGGGCTCCCTGGTGAGGCCTCAGGCTCTGACCCCCCAGCACCCCCTCGGCTGTCAGACGCCCCTGCCGCCCCTGCCGCCCCTCCCCGGTGCGGACTCACCGGCCCGGCTGGTTCGGGACCAGCCGCCGTCTGAAACTCCCGCTCAGACGCAGGGGCTGACCGAGGGGCGCGGGCTCTCTGGCGGGACCCGTGCCCGCCACTGTGCCCGCCACTGTCTGTCTCTGAGCCTGACACTGAGCCGGCAAGAACAGGAAGCGGCCCAGCCCACTTCCCCTCTGACAACACAGGGCGGGGGGCGGGAAGCACCTCCGAGTTCCCCAGACCAGCCCGCACGCAGGCCCCGACGACCAGGCCCCGACGACCAGGCCCGGTGACCGGACCCAGCGACCGGACCCGGCAACCGGGTCCCCCGGCGACCAGGCCCCGCGACCAGGCCCCCAATGACCAGGCCCCCAATGACCAGGCCCCCGACAACCAGGCCCCGGCCACCAGGCCCCCAACAACCAGGCCCCGACGACCAGGCCCCCGGCGACCGGACCCGGCAACCGGGTCCCCCGGCGACCAGGCCCCGGCGACCAGGCCCCGATGACCAGGCCCCGGTGACCAGACCTGGCGACCGGACCCGGCAACCGGGTCCCCGACAACCAGGTCCCCCGGCGACCAGGCCCCAGCGACCAGGCCCCGGCGACCAGACCCAGCGACCGGACCCGGCAACCGGGTCCCCGACAACCAGTCCCCAACCACCAGGCTC